ATCCGTATCCGAGACATGCTTGGATTGATCGAGTTCAAACTTCACACACACAAGGTACATCATGTCACAAATATGTATGTGCATTTGTTTCATGATCTCATTAACGATAGCCAAATGGAGGCCGCTTTAAGGCCGAAAATGCATTGAAATCGCACATTTTCACCATTCCGGACCCGTATCTCAGTTATGCATGGATGGATTTTGTTCAAATTTGGTACATACATTAAACATAATAGGACCTTGATGCACGTCTTTTTTTTTTCGGATCAAGTTTGAAATGGCCGACTGGCGGCCATTTTGTTAAAGAATTCAGTTCTGGATCCGTATCCAAGACATGTCTGGATTGATCAAGTTCAAACTTCACACACACATGGTACATCATGTCACAAATAGATATGTGCCTTTGTTTCATGATCTGCTTAACAATAGCGAAATGATGGCCATTTTAAGGCCGAAAATGCATCAAAATCACGTATTTTCACAATTCCAGAACCGGATCTCAGTCATGCATGGATGGATTTTGTTCAGATTTAGCACAATGTGTTGTACATATGCAGGTGCATTTCGGTCATGATCTGCTTTGAATGTATATGTCACTCAAATATGAACGGAACGGGGACGTGTCATTGACAATGACTTGTTATAATGGGCAAACAATGAATCAATTCGCAAATTAAGCAAGTCTCTTGTACGTGTGAATACATTTGTTTTTTCTTTTCATTCATTATACTTAACTATACTATACTGAACAGTGAAATCATGGCAAGAAAAGTACTCACAAAATTGCCTTTGGTTGAAATATGCAATTTAGAGCAGAATTTTATTCTATTGGTAATTAGCTTCTTCTTCGAAAATGCACTGGACCAAGGAAAACAAAACATGGATTGATGTTTTAGTTTTCTGTGTTGTAACATTTCATGGCAAATTTGCCACACTGATCAATAGTTGCCAGCATGTATCTCTGTGTGTTCTGATTGGTCACATGGATCTATACGTGTGCTCTAATTGGACAATTTACTAAATAAAGATCATAATTTTACATTAATTTCAAATCTTTTGTGAAAGTAGGAGGAGGAAAAAAATGTTTGTCTGTCAAAAAACCTCTGCCAAAGCATGCTTCTATTAGTATTTGGATTGGGAAATATACTTTGCATAATTAATTTGTTGATAGTTACTGTGACTGCAAGAAAGAATTGAATGGCAATATTGCAGTATAAGACACAGTTTTGCTGAAATTTAGCTATATTGCTCACAGACTTTGTGTAATGTACCTATTTTGTGTGTCTTGTACTGCAATATTGCCATTCCATTGTGTGGTTACAGTAATTGAATACTGAGTTGGACCTTCTGTAGCATCTTCACTCCAACAGCTGTTTGAATACATGAATGACTTCAACAGTATTAATTGAGCATCCGTCTCTATAATGGGTATTCGGTAGGTGTTAAGTAATATAAGAACCTCCGTTACCATGGAGTTTAACCTCTGTTACCATGGAGTTTCTGGCTGAGAATCGTTGCATGCACAAGGCAATTCTGAAGCCAGAAACTTTGAGGCTGGGTTCTCACACACACACACACACACACACACACAAACAAAATGATTGGCTACTCATTTGAAATTTAGCCCATCTTGTTCCAAACATCCCTAATTGTAAAATACACTTTACCATTAGGTTCTACTACCTCAAGGTGGCTTTAGAACTACCAGAACTAACTTCCTGTGTCACTTGATACGGACTACAAGTGTGAGAGCACAAGTGTGGTTAAACTTATGTTGAATACTTTCATCAGTATCAGAACTTTTAACAGGTGGTTTGGTGTTTGAATTACTAGAAATTAAAAAAAATATCGCATTTTGAAAGTTTCTATTTTTGTTGTTAATTTTGTTTTGCATATTAATAATTATATTTGTTTGGACAATTATTTTTGGTAAATATCTGTTGTAATAATAATATAACGTATTCAAATGATCTTACACAGGCCATTCAATATACATGTAACATGCAAAGATAAAACCAGTGGAGGATCCTGAGAGAGTGTACTGCATCTACTCAAAACATTTAAATGTTTTACGGGCAGTTTTAGACCAATTGTGGCAAGAATGAATTTGTAAAATGCCTGGCAATTGGTCTATTCTACTGTGCCCTCTAAATAAATACACCCTTTTTCATGCAGTTTTTATGTTAATGAGGAGTTTAATTAACAAGCCATCTGCCAATGAGAAAACATCTTTTGATTGACCTCTTCAATGAAACACTGATGCAGATGTGAACCTGACACATAGAATTCATTGTTCAAGCACACAACTAATTTTCTTGTTATGGAAGTGTTCCCTAAGACTGTATATCATGAATAATTAATAGCAATGAATATGCCACAAAATACACCAGACACAGTAAGGAACTATCACATAAAACAATAAAATGGCCATGGGAGGTAAGCTCAAACAGAATTGTGATACATTTGAAATTTAAGCATCTTGACTCTCAGTGAATAACGACACTTTTAGAAAATCCATTTTCATTTATTAAATATCATGTGTTAGTATATTTAACAATCCACATATTCTATTTGTTTATCCAGGAGGTTGCTATATTTTTTTGCACCATTCTATCTACTTGGCAGACTTCAAAGGGGTGTCTCCAGGTAAACCTAACCTCACAGCGAATTTATTTACTGGCTTAAAGACAGAATATATATATATATAATGGAGTCCCATGATTCCCTGGTACAATCCCAGGGATTTACTGCTTACTCTTTAAGTGGCAGTTCCCATTGAATGCATCACCTAATTGGTGTACAAAATCTCTTGATTTTGGAAAACAAACTTTAGATATGTAAAATTTTCATAAAATAATGTAGATCCAGACTTCCAGCTTTTACTGATAAACTTGACTGGGTGGTAAACCCTCATTTACTACTGCTGCCAAGGTCAATGTCACATCAACCACCAGATATAATCAACATACATTTACAATCTAACTTGATTTGAAAGAAATTTCTCTTGAAACAACCATGAAATTAATAACAGTAAAAGCATTTGAGAAATTACATGACATCAAAAGCAAGGATACCAAAAAAAAAATGATGACATCGGGGAATTGAAACACAGAATGATATCAAAAGCAATGACACACGAAAAATGATATCAGATCAATTGTGTACACATTCTTTTGTCATTTCAAGCATCAACTGTGGTTGTTTTTGAGATTCTCAATTCATCATGTTTTCAGAATTCAGTTATGCATACACACAACATTTACTTTCCATTTTAAAACAAAATTGATATGACTATGATTTCATTTCCGTGCTTCCTCCGCTGTCACTAACAACGTAATTGGTACATGATCATCACGTCTTTGCCACAGCATTTCACCTTCAAAGTGAACCAGTTTTTGTTTTCGAGCTCTCATAAGCATTCCCACCAGTTTGTTTGAAATCTTATTGTACACCTCAAAGAGATTCCCAAACAAGACAACAACACTTCCATTCTCTTGCACTGTTCCAATCCTTTCTATAACATGCAAAAGTTCTTGAACTTCCCGAGAAACCATCTTTCCGGCTTGCTTTCCTCGTATGTCAGTCATAGTTCCAGCGACAGGCCTTGCATATTCTGGATCGTTTTTATCAAGTACTTTACGGTGTGAAGATCCCTCCCATTCTGAAAATGGATTGATCAATTGTTTTTCTCTGTGTTCATCTTCTTTTTTTTTCCACATCGCTATTTTTCCGTCTACAACGCTTTTATTGTACGAAGCCATTTGATAATAATTTTTGAGATGATTTCCCTAAAGACCTGTGAATGAAATATACACATCAGGTTCAATATAAACTTTTTAATATTTTTTTTTCATTTTTTCTGAAGTGTTTAGTTTAACAAATGTTCAATGTGATGGAGTCACAACTGCTCTTCCCAGGCCTCCGAAATGCCATTAGAATTCCTAACATTACACACTGAGTACAGAACGATCAGAAGCAGTGTTTGTATGACACAACTTACCAATAACACTGTAAAATTGATTCAGTAATTACGACATTGATGAACTTCAATTTAGGTCTCACAATTCTGTAACAATCTTGAAAACCTTATATTATTATTATTATTGAGAATCAAAATACTTCCAATTTACAACTACTTCCGGGTTGTTGTTTTGAACACCCTAAGTGAACAGAAATAGACTCCACCTAAAATCGAATATTTGTTGATGTTTTTTGCTCATTTCATCCCGTAATAATATTTCTTACTTCGATAAAATAGAATAATTTTCATATGTGTCGCGAAACATATTTCTATATTATGTTTTTTTGTTTTGTTATTATTTAGTTTTTCTTTGTGTGCTAGAGGGTCAACTGTGACGTCCACTCTGTAAAACGACGTGGCGAAACGAGGCTGCGCTAACAAAATGGCGATGTCCACAAAGAAACTGTGTGCCGATTTTTTCTGCGGCTTTCTCGTAGTTTCGTCTTTTTGTTTAATTCTCTCGACTTTTGCTGACGGTGAGTATGCTTCATAATTACTTGTTCTAGTTTGACAAGCGTGATTGTTAGAATTTTGGCGTTTTTTCTCATTAATAATATCATCACACGTAGAACTTCCGCATCGAACCGTGGCGGTCGTACCCATTGTGCTCACAGTTCGTGTTGCCGAGTATGTAAGGGTAATTTCGATGTGTATTAATCGGAACGAGAATTGATGAAACATAATTGCTACATCACATTTCCAATTATAACGTTTTAAAATCAAAAACGTCGTTGTGTATTGTTGTCATCAATCAATCACGGTTTATACCGGTATTTTAGTAACTGATTCGATGCACAATACCCCCCCCCCCGCACATTCTTCTAATTTCCCCATCTATCTAACTACACAATTTGACACAGTCAAGTAAATAAATGACAATCAATCGTGTCTACCCTCCCATGCAATCACACCTTTGTTTTGTTTTTCAGATGAAATTATAGAATATGAATTTGTTACATGTGGATCAGTAATTAAATTAAAAAATAGTAAATACAATGTCCGTTTGCATTCACATGATGTGAAATATGGATCTGGAAGTGGACAACAGGTACAAAGTTCTTTTTTTTTCTTTAATGTTAAAGGGGTGGTCTTGTAAATTTTTATTTAACACTTGGATACTGTACATCATCCATTCCAAGGACCACCATCCTTTAAGCCACTACATTTATTATTATATTAACACGCATCTATACAGTATACTGTAAAACATGTTTTTTTGGCGAGCATGTCTATTAAGCGAATTTAGCGAGAGAACTGATTCGCTAATTCAAGATGTCGCTAATGACTTTATTAAAAATTCAAAATGGCCAAGGCTTGGGGATTTGTATACAGTAATCCGGAACATAAACATCTGGGTCGCTTCCAAATTACACTTGACAGTTTTTCTTTGTTTTTATGGAGGGATAACTGCGCATTTGTTTTGGCGTGCGACAGACAAGTATTGTGAAAACAGGAAATCAACAATGACAAGAGAGATTCGCTAAATCAACATTTCGCTATTACGTCATTTTACCTCAATTCGCTTAAAAATTGCATGTCGCTTTTTCAACATGTTTAACAGTAAGTTTGTAAAGCAAGTGTAACTGCAACATACTGTATTTAGTTGAAACTTATTTTTGTTGAATATCACACTCCTAACCAAAACCCTCACCCTAGCACTTCAGTCTCCAGTGTTATTGTTTATGCTCCTCCAGATGACTATACCTTGAGAGGTGAATATACAATTAAAATGGAGAAGTACTGGAGGGGCACAGAACAGATGAGAGTTATGGGTCAAGGAGCTCTAACGAACCCTTACCATAACCGTTGGCTGCTGTGTTCTGTATTTGAAATCTAAACTTAAAACATATTTTGTTACCAGCTGTGCAGAATATGTGCGTAGGAATACATTGTAAACAAATCATCTAATTACCACTTTGTTCCTGTGTTGTACAGAAAGTATGGATTATTTTTTTCTGAATGGCAACATGTTAATACTATTATGAATATTCATTACATGAATGCTTTGTACATTGCTGATGGCAATAATAGGAAAGTTGTATAAGGCCATCTGTTAGTTAATTCGTTATACTTTGTTATCTGTAAAATAGCTGGTTTCCATGTATATTTTTGTTTTCATGATTTCAAATTCTGTCTAAATTTGAATTCACAGGAAAATATGAAAAAACAATTTTTCCCATTACATTGTACACTCATTTTTTTGTCACACACTTATGAGATTATTAATTATGCTGAGGCCAAATGAAAACAATAGCGTGTTACTGATAACATGAATTTGCTAATTTTTTTTCATCCTGATGCTTTTGACAAACTGTTCCTAGTTGCATATTAGACCAGTTCTTCTACCAAAATGGTGACTTTTATTTGTGATCATATAATGTTCGTATCATGGCCTGTAATGATAACATGGTCATAACGTAATTAATTTAATTTTTATGTATTTTTCTATTTAGTCTGTGACTGGAATGGAAAAAGCTGGGGATGGAAATAGCTATTGGCAAATAAAAGGAAAAACTCAAAAATCGTGTCAAAGGGGGTAAGTTATAACCATACTAAGCCTATTGAGTCATTTCTACTGTGCACAGTCTCTCTATAGAGGGCAGTGTACACTGTGAACTACATTCTCACTTGCCATAATAACCACTAAAGTTACCAGTGTTTGTTTTTAGAAGGACACTGATTGATTGCTAATACCGATAACGTCAAATATAGTACATTGTCGTCTATTATAAAAATGTATTATTTTTGTTATATTCATTGTGATGTGTTGATTCAGGAGCACACAAAACATCAAAGAAACCAGAGAGCTTTCAAATTTAACTTCTTGTTTATTCCGCCATTTTTAGTTACCTCAACGGCACTACTTTTTACATATCAATACACTCGGGTGATAAGGTGACCATTACAAAAGTATGTATTCTGACGCATGCAATAAAGTAGTCCCAAAAACGTCACATTCATAAACTGCAAAAACTTTTAAACAGAACATAGAAGTTCTATTTATCTATCAAAAAGTTCACCCATTACTAGTATCTTATGGGCCCTTCCAAACTCTATATGTCATTATGAAAATGAAAATATGTAAAAATGTTCTAAATGTAGCTTACTTGAGGATGAAGTTTATATACAAATGAATTGGGTAACTGGGAGTGAGTATTAGAGTTAGGGATGGGGGTACAAAAGGAACTCTTGCCGAAGTTTATTTTATCAATCAATGTAAACTATACACAGTTAAATGAAAACTTGTGTATTTATGTTATCTATTCTATATGGTACCAGCTGTTTGATTGATTCCCTTAAAACTATAATGTCTGTATTGATTGGTGTTTTCGAATAGCTACTGTATTCTATAAATTTATTGTAAATTTTATTTTTGCATGTATTTATGCACACCACCCATATTTATTTTTATTTTTTTCAGAAATAATTTTTATGAGAAATCAAAATAAAAGCCCAATTTATAATTAAAAAATAAAAAGCAATTCATACGCATTAAATTTTGAAATCAAATCAAATGTTTTTCATTACATACATACTATAGAATCCGTAGTACTATCATAAAAATTCAAAGTTTTATGTATGTTCATTTCAGTATATATTTTTAGTGCCCTCTGATTTTAAATGGCCTGACAAAATCTGGAAGTTGAGATTTATATTTTGCTCTTAGAGCAAATGTGGTAGCCAGTGTTCCAATCTACTGTGCATCTTTTTTCATTGTATTGTTTTTTTTACCCACAGTACACCAATCAAGTGTGGTCAGTCTATACGTTTATTACATCTTAATACAAAAAGGAATTTACATAGTCACATGTTCGAATCACCGCTATCTAATAATCAGGAAGTCAGTGCATTTGGGGAAGAGGGTGAAGGAGATGAAGGTAAGTTCATGAACATTTGTAAATGGATGGAGAAAAGAAAAACATGAAGGTGCTCTCATGGATTCATTAGTTTATATCATTATCTTGTAATTCCTATTTTAATAAATCTTTAATTTACAAAAAACGTTAATAGTAATAATGACATATTCTGACTATTAAATACGTTATAGTCTTAAACGCTGAAATCTAACTGAATCGATCAGTACTATTTTTTTTATTAATTTTTTCATTGCTCTAGGAATTTTTATTTTTACAATTTAAGGTAAGAAATCAAAATGGACAGTGTGTCGATTTCATGGCTGTTGAGTTTCATAACTTTAGCTATATTATAGTAATAGTGATGAAAAATCAGGTAAAAATTGTCCTGATTGATTTATTTTGATTTTCAGCCCTCAAGTAATTGTCTAAAATACTGATAATCTGTTCAATTGAAATGTTTGTTTATTACATAATATTAATAACTGCATTTTATCACACAGGTGATAACTGGGCAATCACATGTTCATCAACTTTATGGAGAAGAGATCAACCTGTGAGACTCAAGCATGTTGCCACTGAAGCGTGAGTAATGTTAATTTCACTTTCATTTATTCTCGATATAAAGACTTGGAAGAAATATTATTAAAGGAGTAGTAAATTTTGTGTCCAGTCACCAAAAGTGTAGTGGTCAGGGACTCTAATTCAAATCCTACCTGCGGTTGATCCCTGCTCAAGGTGACTGTGCCACATTTGCAATGCAGAGGCTGAAGTCATAGACTCATTCACTCACTCTGACTGGGGAACCTCGTTGAGGTTTACAGGTGCTTGTGTTTAACTAGGCTTGGGGCACTGCATTAAATTGCCATTATCTCTGTCACTCAGTTTAAAACAAAGAATATAGTTTCTGTGTTCAAATGCACTACCATGAATATTGTAATCTAGGCTTCATTTTTTGAACATTTAAATTTTTGTTGGTGTTTAAAATTAGTCCAAATTATGTTTTCTGTAATCACTTATGCCTGATTAAGAGTACTGTGTTTATTGTGACTAGCGCGAATAGGTAAACTCAGTTTGAACACTGAATGTTTTTGCCATATATGTAATTTAAATGCTTCCTGTGGGCATTTGCACTTTTGGGGAATGATGATCCTCTTTTGATTTAATTTTAATTCTTTTCCAGATATCTGGCAGCAGTTGATCAAGTTTATGGAAGACCCATTCGTGGTCAGCGTGAAATTGCTGCAATAAGCAATCCCAGTCAGGCTACACAATGGACTGTTATGGAAGGAATTTACGTAAAACCGGATGAAGAATAAAAGAAATGCAATATAAATAATTTTTTTTAATGGATTTATTTTTGGGGTGATTTTGAAATACTTATTTAATTGTACTTCAATTGTTAGACAAATTCAGTAATTGTAAACTTTTATTTGTCTAACAACTTATTTGAAATATTTGATATAGGAAATCAAAGTACCGGTACCCACAATTTTGACCAAAACTCCCTAATTCTCAACAGTCGCGGTACAAATTTGTTAAATCATGGTCACAGCAAATATTAACCACTCAAACTCGTGGTTCATATTCCACATGGTACTTCACTTGATAGATCTGTTATTTATTATTAGCCTTCAAACACCAAGTCTTCTAGTTCGTGAGTGTGTTAGTGAGATGACTTGCTTAGGATTTGGATTACTGTGGAATACTTTATTTTTGTTGGAATTAATTTTCGCTGAAAAGGCTTTTTAGGCGTTTTGTATGGAATTTATTTTCACTGATTTTTGATCAGTTTAATGTGAAATATAGGAAAAAAGGTATATTCCCTGGATTTTATTTTCACGGAATTATCCCTCCAGCAAAAATAGCGAAATAAAATTCCAAGCGAAAATAAAGTAGTCTCCAGTATTGCTTTCAGACAAAATTGGAACACCTCTATCTGTTTCCTTGCCATCAACAGAACGAGACGTGTTGTGGAAGATATCATTTTTTTGAAATGTAAACCACTACAGCCTTTTGAAAATACGTATTTGTATTTTCATATTTGTCATATTTGTGTTTTTCTTATACAATAAAGAAACAGTTGTTCTACGACTGTATGAAAGGTGTCCCCAGTCTTTATTTTATGAGACTACATGGCACGTGTATGTAACAATGCATAAGTGGAGTACAATTATTTATGTATTGAATTACACGAAGACCAAGGTTAGGTTGAATATCTGAAGATGCACAACAAGAGTGCATTATCCGATATACAATTTCTGGTAGAGCAAAGGACCAGATGTTGGCTTTTGAGCTTGGAGTTCAAACACAAACAGGAGTGTTGGTTCTATTACCAGTACTATAATTCTAATTTAGCATTTTCTATAAAGAATGTGATTGTGTCTTCATATTTTTTTTTGGAAATCATACATGTGGTGTTGTCGTATATTATTAACACATTACAGATGCACTTAAGTAGTTTTTCATGAGTAATGAATTAAAATCTACTTTGATAAATATTTATTTTGTTATGGTGTTATTTAACCAAATAAAGCTAGCTATTGATGATGCCTGCTGAAAATACTACAACAAAATATTTCTAGTAATTGTGTGCCATGGACTAGTGTTACATTAACTGTAAAATATGCCCTCTATGTTCGAATTGAAAGCCGTGACATAGTTAAAGCATGCGCCAGATGGCCTTAGCGCGTCATTGTTCACAAACAAGTGTCTACCCATGAGCCTTTGCATTTTTTAGCATTTGTTATTGTCGATTTGACTCGACTCCTGCGCTCGCGTAGGTGACGACCCTCCTGTTTTAACACTGGCCATTGTTTACTTATCACTCGGTCCCCTCCAAGACGGGAAACAATCGCTGAAATATCTTGTATAACCTATGTGTATCATGTTGGGATTATGTTCATGAGTGGCCCAGTAGTGAAACAAAACACATAGAAATGATAGCCACGATGAAATGTATAATCTGCAAGGTATGCTGGGAAATCTGGTGGTCTCTGCTGTCAATGCGTGTTTTTTCATAAAAACATCGTCTCCCATTCATCCCCGAAATACAAAAAGGACCATATATAAAGCATGGAGATATAAACAGACGTAAAATAAAGTGTATTATGATATTTATAGCTTTGTTGTGTTACAGATTTGTAGCAGGCATCTGCCTTGTAATCAAACAAACCAGGGCTTAGTCTTGATCGACAGTATTGATGAAACATTGTTCAAGAAAAGTACAGCAGTATGGTTACAACATACTACACGACTAGAAATGATAAAACAACAAAAGTAAGAAATAACCAGTATTGGCAATCTTTAATAATCTGTATAATCGGATTCTAGAAGAATAGTCTAAGACTACTATTGAGAAGGGCGCGACGCAATCTGATTAAAATCCGATGTAGGTATGAGGCTCCATTTTTTTTTTTTTTTTATTTTTTTTTTTTTTTTTTTTTATATAACCCTATATATTATATTTATTTGTATTTTAGTTTGAATATGTCGATTTTTTTGGTTTTTCTAAGAACTACATCGGATTTTAATCAGATTGGGCGCGACGTTGCACTTTTTAACGTTGTCCAATATTATCGTTTAATGCCGCCTAAGTTAGCCTGACGTGTAGGTGTATTAGCACCCTCACCGGCCGAACGGCATCATGTGTTGAGATGTTGGGTTTGGAGCACCGCGGAGGGCGCGACTCGTCAGGCTACGTCTAAGTTAGACATCTTTGTTTGGGCCATAATTAAGCAAGTTCGTTTTCTCTAATCATCATATCGTCTAACTACTGGGAAAGTTCTTTTTTCTCCGATACTATTGATAACTACTTGGATATTAGTATCAATTTTATTGGAGAAAAAACGTACCAAATGCCGTGCGGTATTTAATTGGGACGATAATATCGGATAAAAACGGAAAACTGTTAGAATTAGATATTATTATCGGAGGAAAAAACGTAGCAAAGGTTGATGCGGTAGTTGAACGGGATGATGTCAGTAGACAAACTAAGATGATAAGAACGAAAGATGAGGGAATATAACTTTTAACAACTGTTGAACTTAAAGCGCGGTGGTCGTCGCGCAGCGCGTGTTGAGATTTCATGTAAATAAACAATGTATTTTCTACGCGTTGTGCACGTCGCTATGAGTCCCATATCGAACAGGACGCGGCTCGACGACTGCCGCCCTTTAAATAATATTATCGAGAATAACGGACAAGAAGTTTAACAAGAGTCTATTATGCCAACATTTCATTAGATTTTATTATCCGATAATGATTTACATGGCAATGTCGCGCCTTCGTACACAGTGGTTGTTCAGTGATTGCGTTGCTATTCAACAACTCTGTTATGCATAGTGCATAGTAGTTACAATGTCTCGGTGTCTGTACGATGGATGCGAAAACGATCAGCGTAGTGAAACGACGAAAACCTTTTTTCCTATACCGAATCCCACAACTGAACGAAACTTGTGTGAACAATGGTTACGTAATATTGGTATGAATATCGATGTGGCCGATTACATCTACGATGAGAATAAATTGGTATGCGAAGATCACTTTGATAAATCGGCATTCGGCGCCGTTGTCATACTTGGTGGAGACTTGGTTCGGAAAAAGTTGAAGCCCGACGCGGTTCCACTAAAATGCCAGAATACTACCGAGGAAGGCAACGCTCAATCGAAAGCTGGATCTGACAAGCAAAGCAGCGGAGAGGTAAAGTTATCCTTCATAGAGGGTCGGCAAGGTTTTTTTTTTCGTAAGCTGTAATCAATAGTTTTTATTTTCGTAATAATGTAATTTAAATGAATACAACACGTAAATTTGTAGACATTGACAAGGTGTAAAATGTAATCAACTATTTTATTCGTCCGTAATTTGTACAAAAATACTATTTTTTGTAAGCGTATAAAGCATTTTCCAAATTCGTAATTCGTACGCAATTTTCAATTTGATTCTTAAACACAAATTATCAAACATATTATAACAATATAAACTGTAATTAGGAATTTGCTTTATCTGTAAAGTGTAAAAAAAATATTTTTTACTGTAAATGGAACTTTCATTTTATTTCCTGTAAAAACGTAAAATGCCGTTTAGTTTATTCCCTGTAACCTGTACCAGCTACCCCCTCCTTGTCGCCCCTCTTCACAGTTTGTTTCATGTGTGTGAATTGGTCAAGAGGCTGGCAAAATACTCATGTTGCCAGTGTAAATCACGCCTTCAGTATCAAAACAATTTACCAGTAGTAATATTTTAACTATTTTGACTGATAACACTGTTATCTGTATCCACTTGGCATCGTTGTCATAACTACGCCCTCTATCGTCCGAACATAGTTTATTGAAACTCTTTTTTTTACCTCCATGGTTATACTAACTACTAGAACACATACAAATTCTACAAAAATTACTATTTAAAGCACGAAAATGATTTAAAAAAAAAAAACTACTATTGAAAAACTGGCGATAATAATATAAATAATAGTAATATGAATCAATAAAACATGAAAAAGGAATTTAAAAAAAATGTTCAATATATGTAAATTTATTTATCGTAAACTGCCTGATTTTTTACTTTTCAACGCCTTATTGGTCAAATAAGGTTCTCGTTACAGAGTCTGCTCACCAACCTTGTGCCGAAGGGTCCGGGGCATACTCCCCCTTAAAATTTTGAAATATAGACCCCTTGAAACGCTATTTCCTGCATTTTGATGGGAAAATTTTGCTGGCACGAAGGGTTTCAGCTTGATTTTGGAGGGGCGACGGGGGGGGGGGGGGGTTGACGCCTCCCCAACATTTTTCGAGAGGGGGTTTCGATCACACCCCTCTGCCGCCGCCACAGCATTAGAACATCATGAATAACATCACTGAAATTGATGAATTGTACACGTTGTATGGAACCTATGTTGAACGGCACGCACAGTCTTCTTCCCATAGGTCTTTGCGCTTTACGCAATGAAAAGTAAAGCTCATCGAACTGTGTGGAGTTCGCGGGGCTCTGTGTATTAGCGACCGTGTTGCTTTAATAATAATAATCTTTAATCTCTTAACATCCATTGGAATGGATGAAAATCGATACATGACAATAAAAAAAACAATACAAACATTAATAAAAATAGCTAATAATTACAAAAGAGGAGAAAAAAATCTTTAAGAAAAATATTTTGAAGAAATAAGCTATTACACTTATACATTGTTATTAGTGACCCAATTATGTAATTGAGTTATGATGGTGTTGCTGCCTCAAGTTTAAATTAAATTTGTAGGTATTGAGCAAGAGGTACTGCCATTTTTTGGCAACTTAATAAGAAATTGAACTTTTCTTTCAGATTTAAATTCTTGAAAGTGTTTTCATGCTGTTCAGCTCTTGTGAATAGTTGATTTCTCAGGTCGAGGGTCGTCACCTGCGCACGCGCGGGAATTGAGCCCCAATCGACGGTAACAACACACGCTAAACCGCAAAGGCTCATGGTAGACGCTTATTTGTAGCCAATGACACGCTATGGCCATCTGACGCATGCGCAGGTGAAAACTCTCCGGCTTTAAATTTAATACGAAAACTAAACTTTTTAGTAGAAGCAAACGACGAGGAGATGAAAAGTATCAACGTCAGAAACTTTAAATGGTGATAAACTTGTAATATTATCAATAAAATGCGAACATACAGCAGTTCCAAACATCATATCTGTCTTTCAAATTAAAAAAAAAAAGTATATATATATATTTACACATTTTGAGTATATCCTGCACAGATTCAAAATAAAAAAATCCATAAAGAACGTATCAAATTTGCAATAATTAAGACATAATAACATTTGCCGGTGGTCGATAAGAGGGAGGGGAGCTGTGTACATCTACGTCGTTATTTCACATTAACGCGGAAAACACCTGTTAGTGAACTTACATGTAACACACCCTTCTCAGTTGAAGCGTTATCTTTAAATCACCGAAGGAATGTTGTTCGACTCCAATTATGAGTGACTGGGGTCAAAAACAAAGGCCTTGAGCTCTGTCGTCACATGATTCGAGCTGAGCGTAATGATTGGATAATTGACAGGACAATAGTCACTATGGCGACAGTCATGAAACGCTACACGGGTATAGGGTATTATATTAGTAACCGCGGGACGTGTTTTGCCTACCTGACATCGTACCTGTGTACTGACGTGGTTTGCAATCTTTTTTTCTAGCTTTCCCACTCAAACGTCAACATGTCCGAACAGCAGAACGAAGAGGTTAGTTTATTGTCTTTACATTAACGCCCTTTACAGCGTCTCGGTATGCATGCTTACTTTGAAGAAATCATCGCGAAAGTGCATAACTTAAAACCGTGCTGCGCGGCCATGTTGGTTTTGTAATCAGAATGACAGAATCGAATTACCGGTTGTCAAGTTAAATGCGTGTTCTTTCTTAATTAACACACCTTGTAACACTGTCCTATATTATTTAAAATATCACGAGGAAGTATTGCCGTTATTACTGCAAGTGTTAACATATCGGAATTAACACTCAGTCTTCGATTGTTTACATATGTCGGAATACCCATGACGACGTGTAATTGCCATCTTGACACGTGACTGATAAGGCGTATTATTGCAATAATAATCTGTGAGAAACGGTGGCAACATGAAGTTTATTTGTCGTGCAATTATAATGAAACATTGTCAAACGGGCACATATGAATACATATGCTATATTAGTGTAATACTTATTCATGGCCCTATTAGAAACTGGGTGTGTGCAAATTAAACTTTTTCTGACATAACTTTGAATTTTGGTGGAATCGGTTCGGGTTTCCTTCATCAAATGTGTCTCAGATATGTTTTTAATGTCATTCTATCTGAAACATTTCTCATATTGTTTCTGTACAGATTGATTTTCTAATTTCTAATAACCCTCACTAAATTATTGAAGTGATCCATCATTCCTGAGAATCTACTCATTTGTTTACTTAATATGTAAATTCAATTTTCCCAGTAACGAAGTATTGGTGAATACAAATTATAAAATTGGGCAATAAAAATATTGATGCAATTGTTGACTGTCTAAGAAACAACCCAATGATTATAGTTCGGTCTAATGATTTCTATGGCAACAATATGTTGTAGGAGACGACACAACAGGAAGAACAGACAGAAGAACAACAAGAGGACCAAGAAGAGGCAAAAGAGGGAGAGGGCGAAGGAGGAGATAAAAAGAAAGAGGAAAAAAAAGGTAAATTTCTATATGGGCTAGGCAGCTATAAAAAAAAATTATACACTGAAGCCAACAAGGACATGTGTATTCTTATAAATATATATAGAAACCTGACTGTTTGCATCATATTCATTCAAATCTAAATAAGACAAATGGAGAGACTCAGTCACCACAAATCTCTATTATGTGTAGTGCTCACACATAAAACAGAATGTGTCAAAAAATGGGCCATTTAGTTTTATAAATAATTTAAAAAATACATGCTTTAACTGACATCACAGTATTTTGTAAGAAAGGCATATACTGGTAGATAATATAAACCTGTAGTGGGGGGAAGCAATGCTTTGTATACCCACTAATAAACTCTGGAAATACTGTAGAATACTTTATTTTAGCCGAAATTAATTTTCGCTGTAAGTACTTTTTGGGTGTTTTGTATGGAATTTATTTTCACTGATTTTTGACAAGTTGAATGTAAAATATAGGAAAAAAGGTATATTCGCTGGATTTTATTTTCACTGAATCATTTCTTCAGCAAAAATTTTGAAAATTAATTTTAAGCGAAAATAAAATATTTTACAGTATTTTCAGATATTTTATCAGCTGTCTGAATTTGGTAAAAGTGCTTTGAAAATTAATTACTCACTAGCCAATTTTTTTCTAAAATAAGAAACAAAAAACTTCTTTCTTTACACTGTGTTTCATTCTTACGAAGCCTGTATAAGAAATATTGCAATGAAGGAGAAGTACCCGGTAAACTGGCAAAATTGGGGCTTAGTCTTGCTGTATAGAATTGGGACTCAGAGTCATTATTTATTTGCCGCTCATTGTTAATACATAAGTCTCCTTTCTTGTGCTGCGTGTTGCATATATTCTAACTGAGTTGAAAAAAAAATATGAAAAAGATTTTTCTGAGACAGATTAACTAAATTAAAACTGTGTGAAAATATAAAAGCAGTAGATCTTTGTCACTTTTATGTGGGTTTGTACATACATACTGTAAAACCATTTATTTTCACTATTTTGATGTTTTGAGAAATTTCACTTGATAGGAAAAACAATAAGTTCTATTATTCTATGATGTTCATGTGAATTTAATTCAGCGAATTTTACTGATCAACGAAAATAACAAAATTAAAACCCAGTGAATATTTAATGCATTCACAGTATGTGCTACACCCTATGCAGCCATGCATCAAACACTAAAATTTAAAGGTTGTGAAAATTGACATTCAGATTTGACCTTCAATCTTATAACAATAAACTACCGACAAAGATGAACTGATTATTCTCTTTTCAAAGGGTATATCTATACAATATAGCTGCAAACAGCATTAATTTGTGTCACTCATATGTTGTGTACATTCTCGGCTTCAATTAATGAGATAAAGGGTCCCACCCATCAGTCTTTTTTATTCCATGTCTTTGAGAATTCACTTTGGTATAATCCCACCATTTTCTATTATTATAAATACAATTAAATGGCTTTGACATCAGATATACTGCTAGTCTGAAAGGCAGGGTTATTTATGTCCAAATCTACTGTTCTGATAAATCTTCTCTCTATAAAGTCATCAACATATTTTGTCTATATATTTTTCAAAAATGTTCCTACCTTTTAAACTTCATAATTTGAGTTGTAGCCGAACCTGTGTATAGTGACCAGTCTTTATATAGAGGTTGGAATATTTTTTATGTATCACCAACTCATACATTTGACATAATATTAATTCAGAAAATAATGAGATGGTACTGTGAAAACAACAACAATAAATTTATTTGATTTTGACTTAAGAAAATCGGAAATCGTTTTTTAAACAGAATGCTAATTCATATATTTGGTCTCTAAACAAAGGTGAATTAGCAAGTATGTTATGCCCCGGGACTGCCTAAAACAGTTACTGTAGACAGGTGCCATCTTACGCATGCACAGGTGGCGACTCCCTTGCTTTAACATATGTACGCATTACTAATATGTTACACTGTGCGTCATATTAATCTGACTTGTGAACTCTGTTTGTTTATATTTGTAGAAAAGCCAAGCATTGAAGACAGACGTCATCGACAATACAAAAAACAATTAAATAAAATGCAGGAAACACTCAATGAGGAGAAAAGTAAAATAGTCAAACCAGAATAGTGAGTACAACTTTTAATTGAAATGCATCATGGGAACACCATCCTACATGCATATAGGACTTCATTAATATATTTAATTAGCATAATATCATTTTTCAAATACAAATTCTACCATTAGGAGTTTTCTCACTCAATTTTTTCTGTAAAATATTGTCTCTAGGAATTTATTTTTGCAATTTTCACTGGCGGAATGATTCAATGAAAGTAAAATATATTTTACATTCAACTCAGTTCAAAAATCAGTGAAAATAAATTCCATACCAAAAAACACCCAAAAAAGTTTTTCAGTGAAAATTAATTTTAGCTAAAATAAAGTCTTTCACCGTTTTTTTTTTTTAATTTAGAAAGTCCTACAAAATCGTGTGGCACCAGGGGAAGTGAGATAATCACATTATGTAGGAAATAGTTTTCATAACTTTAGATAATTTGATAGCCATTAAGAAAGTCCCCTGCTATATATTACAATGTTCATTGGAACTTTCCTGAGTTGCTAACTAAAGAATCTTGTTCGTGACCACTATAAGAATCAGAATAAAAGCACTGCAATTTTTCATTACTAATTCTAGAATAAAAATTGGGGAAAAAAACATGCATACCAGTACATGATTTTTTAAAACAAAATTAATCAAAATTGTTTCCCTCTTTTATGGGTCTTAACAGAATGCAGTAATTTAAACCATGTATTGCATATGTATAGCTTCATACTTAATGTAATATTATTTCTATCACCCTTGCAGTACACCCTATACCCCCTATATATGGAATAGTTTAACCCCATATTATGAAACAAATACAGTGCAATATTTGATGGACTTGCCAAATGAAGTAAGACATGGTTATATAAATAGAAATACAGCTCAAGGTTTGGTAGATCCAGAAGTCTCACACAGAATGGATATGTAAGTTATTTTATATTCATGTGAAATTTAGTTTTGAAATACATTATAAAAGGGGAGAAGCAGCTAACATAATTTTAATTCAGGAATTTTCTGAAATTTGAAAATCAGAAAAAAAAAACTATTATTAACCTTTTCACCACCAGACTTACTTTCCAAAATTTGTCTGCGCTTATTTCATATATTATTCAATTTTTCTGGAAATGAACACTAATTTTGAAGCTAACAGACAAAATTTGAGTCAATTTTAAGTTTTTACTTAAAAAATTTGGCTGTTGTTGTTCAAATCTAATTTAGAATGGTCACTAGAGGAGAGCTTAAGACTATGGAGAGAAATAACAAAACTATTGATTCCATAGAAAGAGGCTCGGAATTCTCAATATCTGCTTCCATTTTTAAAACAGTAATTATAGAACAATAACTTTTCATATAACTTACAATAAAAGTATTAATTTTTTCAGGTAGCTTCTATTTTAATTTTTTTGTTATATTATATCGGCATATTTAGTTGATTTTTGTATTATATTCCTACATTTATTAATTATTTGAGTGGACTTAATGTGGGAAATGAATTCCCACCTACATGAATAATCAAGTTGTCCATACTACAGTTTCATAATTATTAAAAACCAACTTTCTAGTTCACCATGGCAACATCAATCATACTTAATTATATATAGTATACTCAATGGGGTTCAATTAATGTTCTGTGATGTTTAATTGAGTTATGATTGTATACCGGTAGTCCTTTAAGGGCTTTTCTCCAAATTAAAAAATTAGATCAATATAAAACACAGACATGTTCACTAGCGCTATAGATATTGAGTTATGATATGAATAAAAAATTGCATTTCATCAGATTGTTGAGAAACTCCAGTGTCAATATTCTGTGACATTGTAATAAATATGGTTTCCACACAATTTATATTTGCTCCAGTAATAACTTATTTTGAATGACTTGTATAAGAATGTTGCCAATGAGTTCTAAGTGTATTTAGATTAACTAAATTGCTTTTTTATTGCTTCCACACATACATATTATTCTCAAACATATTTTTACATTTCAGCATGGATTTCCCATCATTCAATTTAGTCATATTTTTCTGCATTTTTAACTAATTTAACTATTAATATAATTAATAATTTGTTTTAAAAAATAATTTATAAAAAACTGATGGCTTTACTATTAAGTCAGTAAAAGTGACAATAGTTCTTGTAAAATTTCAGAAATGATATTATATTACTCACACCACAACCCAAATTGTTTCCTATCTCATACTACGGTGTTTTCGTCATAAATAACTCTGGTACTGCTGGTTATTTGTTACTAGTGTTATCATCTAACCTAATTTTAGAAACTTACACAATTTTAAATCGAACCTATTTGAATCATTTATTTATTGACTAAACCCATCTGATTAAAATCAGATGTGGATATATTCCATTTTTTAAAAATCAATTTTTATATTTTGTTATTCTTGTTCATTGTTCATTTTTGGTTTTACTTGCTATTATTAGGTTTTTTTTTTTATACATATATCGTATCTCGAACACATTAACTATATGTGACTCAATGTGTATGGAAATCCTGAGACTAGTAATTAAGACAGCCGGGAGTTGATTATATAAAAAAAAACTTAATAACAGCAAGTAAAAAATAAATAAACAAAAATAAAAATAAAAATATATTATATATATATATATATATATATATATATATATATATTAAAGCCTATATATATACCGGGTATATTAGATTTTAATATTTTAATTAGATTCATTGTAACCACTTTAATAATCCTGATCAGTTTATTTCTACTATATTGCTTGGTTGCCATTGCTTACAAACATAAACAATCTGGTGTATTTTCCTGTATGATAATAGAGTCCCAGGTCATACTATGTGGGTTCAGAGGTCACCACAACAGGTGGGGGGGAGGTCTACTTAAATGAATATTGTAACCAATTACTGAAAAAAAAAATATTGAGAGGACACCTGATTTCAAGGCATATCAAAATAACACCAAAGCAAACTTGTTGTATAACAAGGCAATTGTATTCAAGTTCTGCAATATCATGCTAACAAATACAAGTCAAAATAACTTGTAGTTTTCTATCATATCCCCACTCAGAGGTAACCCCTGTGTGACTAATATAATAATTGAGTTAAATTGATTATGAAATCAAACCTGCCATGCCCATACTATAATGGGTCAACTGAGTGAACTATGCCCTCTATGACAAAAAAGCACATTCATTTTGTTTTTATGATGAATTCACCTCAATTGCAAGGAACCATCCATAATCATTGGAAGTGGCAGAACAAATATAATAATTATATTATGTGGTTGAATCAGTGTGGTAGTAGAATTGAAGATTTTTCATTCACTGCAAGATCTCCCATATTACGAAGAAGGCGCAAACTTCTACTGCAAAAATCAAATGATCTAATTTAGAATTTTTTATTTTGAGATTTACCATCATCAAATGTATATTAGACGTGAAAATACCCACAAAACATATGTATTGTTTGAATCCCATAAGATGTTTTGACGTCACTACGACGTTATGATCTTAGAATACTGTAAAAAGATTACTGGGGTAATTTTCACTGCGTTTAAATTTCACTGATTTAGCATTTCAGGCATACCCAGTAGGTTTTAAATTCACGGTTATATCATTTAGATAATGTGTTCTATGCTAAATTTTACATATTCACTGGGTTTTAATTTAGCGCATTTTCCAGTCAGCGAAATAAGCAAAATTAAAACCCAGTGAATAATTAATCCTTTTACAGTGTATGGAAACAAAACAGAGAAATGTTTGAAGATTTAATGACAGCATGTATATAAGTCTAGTGATTGAGTTACCAGAGGGAGTCTAACTACATGTAATATAAGGCCTTTGCTGTACCCCAATTTTCAGGGGCGGAGCTACTTCACAGAATGTTCTACATCTCAGATGCGCACCACTGTACCATGTTTTTGCCATGGGCTCTGCACAAGAAATTCAACTTTGAAGCAATCCTAGGCAATCATTTATATATGTTGCACATGTGTATCCTGGTATCTAGTTACACTGTGTAGTGTAAATGCTCAGATGTCCGACCCTAAGAATTCAACTTGCAACTCATTTTATTTTTTTCTTAACAGCATATAATTTTATTTATTTGATATTTTACATTTATCAACATTGTTAGCTTTGACAGGCTTCCTAACTGACTTTATTGTTTTGTTCATTTTATGTTTACAGTGAACTTGATCCAGTTCCTAATGACATTGTTATGACACCTCGGGACAAATCAGGGTATGTAAAAATATATTATGATTCAAGTTTATCAACGAAAAACATTTTTCCAAATTAGTAGATACATTTCTTTAATGTTAAGACAAATTTTTTCATCGCTAAAAAATAAGCCCACATAAATTATTTTTTATTGAAACATTACCTGATGAAAGTGTTGAAACTAGAGGTAGATTTGGTCCAGAATTGAGAAAGAAATTATTGCACATAAATTCAAGAGTTCAATGACAGTTCTTTAAGTTTTGTTAGATGACTTAACAGTAGTTTGATTTTTCCATGTTTACCTTATTAACTCACCTCGATATTTTTAGCATTAAGCATGTGTTTAACTATTCAGACTTTTAATTTGCCATTCATTCAAAATTATTGTTCGATATTTGAACCATTCTTTAATATTTGCAGCAAAAAAGACAATAATAAGAAAAGCAAGAAGAAGGAAGGCAGCACAAGACTACCAAAATGGCCTGTTGTTAGAATGGATGATACTGATTTGAATCAAGAAATTGACTGGAGTGACGTACCAAAACTAAGGTCAGTGACAGTTATCTAAAAAATTCCAAAAAACTACCAACAAATTGCACGTTTGATTCCACATTTTCTTACCTTCGAACCAACGACAAAAAGAATGTAATTGAAATTTTAATTCATGATATTTTCATTCAAACAAAATAAATAAAAAAAATTTTGTTTTCATTATTTACTCTTGATGCAACAATGGCATACCTTCATCTTTATAAATATTTATGAATTTCAATGGCAGTTTAATTCAACCAGCCAATCAACGATTACATTTTGCAACAATGTCATTTTTAAAACGTTCCAATGTTATTCAATCGGCCAATAGAAACATCTTGTTTCAGTTTCAATTGTGAATATTTATAAAGATGAAGGGAATACTAGTACTTTTGTTGTGCCTAGAGTACTATAAAAAGGATAAAATACAATATATGTTTGTTTGCTCACAAGACTTCATTTCATCTGAATGTCAATAGAGACAATCTTTGGTGAGAAAGAAAATCTGTTGTAACATCCTAATCTTTTGAAAACATAAATATTTATTATTTTTGTTCAACTTGCAGAGAGGAGCTTAGAACCAAGTACAGTACAGGGGCACAGCAAAGAATAAAATATGACTACACACGAACAAAACAAGACTGGACAAGAATGGATCTTGATGAATTGAAAAAAGTTCACCCTGTCACAAAAAGCCATATGAAAGTAACCTGCAATGCCTATTTGGGAACCACGCCGGGCTCGAAAAGAGCAGTCACAACACTATCCAAAACGCTTGATGATTAATCTTCCATAGAATTATATTCATCAAATATTATTGGTATTAATATGTATGCAACATTATTTCTACATTACAACTATTTTTTTTACCATATCCATGTTTTGGTGACATTCCCAGCATGCATCATTTTGACATCTGCCCCAGCATGCAACATTACTTCTGCATTGTAACAACTACTTTTTTTTTACCATATCCATGTTTTGGTGACATTCCCAGCATGCATCATGTTGACATCTGCCCCATCATGCAACATTACCTCTGCATTGCCACAACTTTTTTTGTTTTTTACCATATCCACATTTTTGTGATCTTTCCCAGCATGCATCATCTTGACATCTGTCCCAGCATGCAATATTTGATTTTACAGACTGAAACAAAAAATTTCAACTTTGCACTTTGTATGATATTTTTCGACCATATAGAAATGTTAGCAGACTATTTTACAAATATGTCTTTCTTAGTTGGCATTTTATTTTAATTACTTTCTTTCGTCTCTTGCTAACTTGCTAATTCAACGGAAAATGAGATTTCAAAAATGAGATTGACTAATATGTACATTAGCTATTTCAAAATGTTTCACACTAATTTAAATTTGATTTGGCAGAGTCATATAATACTAGTAACGGTACATCACATTAATACGTATGGCAAACCGCAGGAAAAGAGAACTTGGAATGTAATCGTAGTACACAACATCAAATCTCAATATTATTATGACTTATAGTTGCAGCGAAACCTCCTAAATTATTGCATGTTGCAGTAAGCTTAGTACATCAATTAAATAAAAATATTTGTGCCAAATATTAAATATTCGAGTGTTTGTTTGTGACAAATTAACTCCAATTGATGGTAGTAATTAATGTATTAGAGAATAATTGATCCTCCATCATCTACATAAATAAGGCAAAACAAAAATATTTATTTCTAGTTGCAATGTGTGTTGGTCGAAAGAGACTGCTCACTGTTTTGTTTATGGTTTCTGCAAAAATGGCCAAACGAATTAAAAAAAAAAGGCATATCAATGTACCATTGTTTTTGACATCTCAAAAGCAGAAACTACACTTTTAACAGACTAAGACAAGGTTATACATTGGCTGTGGTATGCAATGAAAAACATTTTCTGTGCAGACTGAAAAAAAAAAATTAAAAAAAGGGTTTTGCGTTACGAATACCCTTCTCCCTCTTCCAGTTTCGCCTTTTGATCACCTGTGATATAGTGACTAAACTAAAACAAGAATAATTACTAATATGAATCGGTGTTTGTGATTTAATCTATTATGACTTGGGGAAAAAAATACTGTAAAATTTTTACTACTTGGAATTTTTTTAGAATTTTATGGCATTCGAGGAGAGATCAGTTTGGAAAGTCATTGTTGTATCAACCCAGAAAAAATTTGACTGCTACAAAAATTTCTGATTTTCACTGTTTCCAGAAATCTTTCTCTTGTGAAATTAGATTGGTATACAGTAGTCATACAATGTACAATCATACACCAATTAAGAACAGATAGATTGGTTTCTGCAGTAAATTTATAGCAAATCTCATCACAATACTATGACATAACAATTCTATAAAAACTTAAATTTGTTCACAGTGATAAGTCTACTAAATAATATATAGACCTCAGATTGTTTTTGAAATTAAAAATGGCTGCCAAAGTTTCTATGGAAACAAGTACAGCAAATTTACATAATTTGTAGTGTTATTTCTATATTTTCCTGGTGTTTCAATAACTCTAACGACATGTACTCCAGTATGCGTTCAGATCATATTAAGTAAACGTTTGTAGTTTATTTTATGTGTAATTTTAATCAAAAGAGTGCGAGTGTGGGTTTATTGGTGCATATTAGTGTACATATTTACAAATAAAAGAACTATTTCATATACTGTTTGTGTGCTAAGTCAATTCTACATCACCCTCACCTTTCATGATAAACCATCCATCTTCAGTATCAATATATTTATTTGCAGACATTATACTTTTGGCGCAACAAAGGTATACCCTTCATCTTTATAAATAGTTATAAATTTCATAAGTGAAACTAACATAAGTTGTTTCTATTGGCAGACTATACATTGGAATGTTTTCAAATGTTCTTGTTGTGCACTGTCCTCATTAATTTGATTAAACCATAACCCTTAGAAAGAGACTCTTTCTAAGGTCTATGATTAAACTGCCATTGGATCATATAAATATATAAATATTTATAAAGAGGAAGCAAATGCTTTTGTTGTGCTGAGAGTGTACTAATGTACTGTAAAATGACTAATTTTCACTGGGTTTAAATTTCGCTGATTTACCATTTCAGGCATATTCAGTGGGTTTTAAATTCATGGTTTTAATTTAGCACATTTTCCAGTCAGTGAAATAAGCAAAATTAAAACCCAGTGAATAATTAATCCTTTTACAATACTTGGTCCATTACTAGGGGGTGCAGTCATTCAGGTGACAATTGCATCATAGTGCCAGCCCATAATGATTTGTAAAAATATGTCACTAGCGTACATCAGTCCACGCAACCAGCACACACACTACAATCAAACATCGCAAACTTAAGTTATCATTCAAATGTCTCACAAGTGACATAAATGGGGGACACATTGTACTGTTATATGGACATATTGCCAGTACTGGTGTACTTCACAACTTATATGGACACACACACAGGCTCCACACATATTTTGTAATGAAAATAGGAAATTTTTTTTTTAAAAATATGTTTTATTCTGTCTCGCACAGTAGCTTTTGAAAGACAGTTGTAATTTTTGTAGAGGTGATTACACTAATTACAATGTAGCTCATTAGGAAATAGTAATGACATCACTACTAAACAGTAATGACATCACTACAAAATACCCTCATAGTAATGACATCATTACCAAATACCCTAATAGTAATGACATCATTACCAAATACCCTCATAGTAATGACATCATTACCAAATACCCTAATAATAATGACATCATTACCAAATACTCAATAGTAATGACATCATTACCAAATACCCTCATAGTAATGACACCATTACCAAATACACTAGTAATGACATCACTATCAAATGCCCTAAGAGTACCGGTAATGACATCATAACCAAATGCCCTGATAGTAATGACATCACTACCAAATACCATAATAGTAATGACATCACTACCAAATACCATAATAGTAATGACATCACTACCAAATACCCTAATAGTAATGACATCAATAAAAATACTTTTGATATTTGTTGAAATCTTTTGAAGCAGGAATTTTAGTGAAATTCTACAAGGTTCTTCCCTGCTACTTGGTATTCAAAAATCCAAAGGAAAAAATTGAAACAGCCAAACTTTTTTTTGAATTACGAACCTCAATTGCATGTAGTTTGATCAAGTTAAATTCAAAATTATCACCACAGTAGTTTTGTTTCAAAGTTTTCCTTGTATTGGCTCTCATTCTGATATGAAGTTATAGTTATTTTAAATTTTCAACATTTTTAGTCAGCAGTGTACCCTTGAAGACTATCACACCAAATGATCAGCTAAAAATATTACAAGATTTCAAAAAAAATGTTTGAGATGATGTCACAAATTGTTATTCAAGAAGACATTCATTTTGGACAAACAGAATGTAAAACAAACATTTAAGTGACTGGTTTGGCAGTGATGTTGCAAAATTTTTCGGAGGACTATATTCACTTAATTAGTTATCCTTTTTAGAATTGAATCGTGAATCAGCGAATAGCACAAATGAAAATTGTATGCAAACGCGCATGATGTATACATTGCATGTGACTCAAATGTGATTTTTACGACAGTGAAAATAAAACAAGTGTCTAGACATAACACTTACCAACTCTATGCAAGTCAATGACAATGTAGTGTAGTGGAGTATTATTAAAACATGGTTGACTTGATTACTCTTAATGCAAAAGTAGCACTAGTCGCAGCTTGGTGTCGATAAACCAGCTGTACTTTTGATAAGCTTCCAATTAATGTTTCAGTAAATCAAAATAAAAAAACATACACAGTGTTCACGTTCAGCTGCCAACCTGAATCGATTTCCACTGTAACTCTTATCAATCTATACACGGTTTCTATCGTTTCTATATTCGTGAAATCAAATTAACTGCAATACGTATTAAGTACCTACAAAATTAAGTTCACAGCAGAGTCAAACTTTGGATAATATTTGTCTAATATCTGTCTATTTTGCATAATATTGAATAAGTTAATAAAATTGTATGATTTTATTTAAATGGTATTAAATATTTCTAACTCATCTTTTTGAAATCTGTGTTTATGAAACATCTTTAATTTCTTTTAATAGCACGTTCACTTAATATTATTTAAAAGCATTGTCCATGTTCAGTTTTTTGTGACTATGAATCGTAAAACAACGAATAAATTATATTATAATTAAATGTTGGGAAAGTATTCAGTATAATAAAATGATAAAGCTAACATGGCCAACATTTTGAAACAAATCACAATGCAAACCTTCATTCATCAAAACCATCTGGTTTGGTGTCCATGCCAAATTTGAATAAAATCTGTTCAAATGTTGTTTTTTAGGGTTTAACAATTTTAGGCCCAGTGTTCAATGCTGAGGTATGGTTCGACAACAACAATGTTAGGTTCCATGTTAACTAACATCTAGGTCTAGTGTTCAAAAACTTAAGAATAAGGGTTAAATGATTGTTGTGTTCAACAATGCAAGAATCATTGTTTAATAATTGTTGAATAGAGCATTTAACAATATACCAGGTAGCCAGTGTTTGATCAG